CTTCGCCTGGGCGAAATCGCGGCCCTGGTAGCTCTGGAAGGCCTCCCGGTGCTTCCGGCACGCATCGAACATCGCAGCAGACTCCTTGGGAGGAGAAGGAGGAGGAAGAAAAGGGAAAGGATAGCGGAAGGGACAGAAGAAGATCATGGAGAAGAAAACGGCGGGGGAGGACGGGGAGGAAGAGGGACACCAAGAGAGTAGCAACTGAAACCGCGAAGTTATCAAACATTTAACTGCGGGGTTAAGTCGCCCCGACCCCGGGGCAAGCGCCAGCCTGCGGAAACTTGAACTCCGGAATTACATCGCCGCGAAGCTGGCGGACACGACAGCCTGGGAAAAATGTTTCCAAAATTAAATGATTTAACACGCTGGGCGCACGACCCCGGGACCAGCTTGCCTTGGAGTTACGTCGCCACGGCGCTCGGTTGAGTGCTGTGACGACCGAGGGGGAAGGATGTGGAGGAAAAGCCACAACGCCGAAGCAACATCCAGCAATTGCAATCAATGGTGGTATGGGCACCACAAGTGTCGTCAGCATGCACAATCTCAATCGAAAATAGCAACGGATGGCGTCGGTGATCAAAGGTACACCTTGGTGCTTATTAAGTGGAGTTCCTACAATATGCTATTCAAGGTGGGCCCCACGCACGCAAGTCTCTTGCAACCAATATGGTGCAATCTAAGTGGTCCAAACCATATCATGCAATCTACTTGGTGCAATCAGTGTGATGCAACGCATGCGACGCAATTCATGCCATGCACATTACAAAGTGCAATCAACGTGGTGCAATTCACCTGGCCGAAATCGAAACTGTCGACTCCACTGCTAGCGCAATCATCCCACACACACACACACACACCCGCAACGTGGTTCCCAAAACCCACGCGGAGGCGACTGCGATGAGTGCATCTCTGCGGCCGCGCTAACACGCGCATGCAGGCGCGCGCAACGGCCAGCTAGCTTGGCGCGACCGATGCGAACACAGTGGCGCTGACCACTCGGCACATCCCACCGGGTATTTAGTGCCAGTCGGCGACTTGGGCGGCCGCGGTGTCATAGCAGCGTCGACGACCGTAGACACGATGATGATACTAGCGATGCTGGTGACGATGATGACAGCGACGACGGCACGGTCAATGACGGCGCGGATGCTGATCATGCAGACGACGATGACGGCGTCCTCGCGTCGGTTATTAAGGTTATGTAAGGAGTTCGACATGCGAGCGCGGCCAACGCGCGAGTGGCCGATTTCGGTATGGGGCGCGAGAGGCCCGCTTGGCAGAATTCAGTGACAATGTTGGAAAACCATGGTTGTGTTTTAAGAATTCCCTAGATGGCGCGCGACAGTTTTTCTGAAAACTGATGTTGCGAAATCCTGTTTTTATGGTTTCAGGGCACTCCGCTTTGAAATCCTCCCGAAACCAATGGTTTTTGACTGATCTTGGCATGCGCGCGCGACGACGCGCGCGTGCGCACTTCGTATGGGTTCGTGCCAGGGTTGTTTTACAAAAAAACTGCTGAATTTCGATTAACGACTGCGCGCACAGAATATTTCGTTGCAGAGAATGGCGGGGTCTATCGATCTGGCCCGGCTCGGATGTACGAACTCGTATCTAAGATGGAAGATGGGCAAATACCATACGCAAATTGCAATACGAAAAAGGGAACGGATAGTCCTGGGGGGGAGAAAATCTGTTCTCTCTCAAGGAAATAAACCTAATTGTTGGCAATAAATTGTCAACCCCACTTTCCCGCGCAACCATCCCACACACCCACCGGCAACTTGGTTTGCAAAACCCATGCGCTGGCGATTGCGAAGAGTGCTTGACAACGGCTGGTGCGTCTCTGCGGCCGCGCTAGCCCGCGCATGCTCGCACGCGAAACGGCCAGCTGGTTTGGCGCGACCGACGCGGCCGCGGTGGCGCTGACCGCTGGGCACTGCCCAGCGGGAGCCGCAGTGCGAGTCGGCGACTTGATGGTCGGGGCTTCATGGCAACATCGACAATGGTAAACACGATGATGGTAATATCGATGCTGGTGGCGATGGTGACAATGACGACGGCAAGGCCACTGACGGCGCCGATGTCAATCACGCCGACGACGATGACAGCGCCATCGCGTCCACGATGAAAATTTTGGAAAAAAATCGACATGCGCGCGCGGTTGACGCGCGAGGGGCCCGCACGGTATTACTTGCACGGATCGCGCCCTCCCCCCAGCATGCGCGCAAGGGCGTTCGAATGATTTTTACATGCGGCGCAAAAGGCCAGATCGGCCAAATTGCATAAAAATGCCAAAGAACCGAGGGTTTCTCATGGGATTCGCAGGGGCGCGAGCGCAGGCAGGCATGTTTGAAAACGGATGTTACAAACCACATGATATAAATATGTGTAGTTATACGCATGTGTCTATTCCGAACAATATACTTTTATAAGGCCGGGGAACCCAAACGAACGCTGGACGGAGCCCACCCCCCCACCCCAAACGAGTTTCGGCCTTCTCCGAGATGTTTGGGCGGTCCCAGAGGCTCCCCAGACGGCCCGAGATACTCCCAAGAGGGATCCACGAGCGCTCCAAGACAGCCCAAGAGCGCTCCAAGGGACCCCAAGACCGCCAAAGACCGTCCGAGGGGGCCAAGACGCCCCAAGAGGCCTCCAAGAGGCTTCCCGAGAGGGCCCCAAGAGGGAAATTGCATTGATTTTTGCATGGATTTCAGAGCTTAGTATGGTTATCCCATTTTCGGGCCAACATCAGCCCCGGCCCAAGAGGCTCCAAAGATCGCCCAAAGATAACCCAAGAGGCCCACAAAACACGCCGAAAACGACCCAATAGTCCCAAGACAGCCCAGGAGGGCTCCAAGACGGGCCCAAGAGAGCCCCAAGAGCGCCCAAAGAGGCGCCCGAGAGGGCCCCGAGACGCCGCCAGGAGAGCCCTACGACGGCCAAAGGCCTCCAAAACGCCCCAAGACGGCCCAAAAGGGCCCCGCGACGACCCAAGAGAACCCCAACAGGGCCCCAAAAGGGATGCACAAGGGCCCCAAGAAGACCCCAAAGAGGCCCTACAACGCTGCATGACACCAGGGCTCTCAACACTGAGCTTCAATGGCACCCCTAGAAACCTTCTTCTCCCAATCTCCCTCCTTCTCTTTCCCGTTATCCTTCTGTTCCTCCTCCTTCTCTGTGCACTCTCTGCTCCTCCTCCTCCTCTCAGCCTCCTCCTCCCCCTCGTAGTTGTCGTTCCTTCTGATCCTCCTCCTGATCCTCTTCATGATCCTCTTCAGCTCGGCTCGGCTCGGGTTGGCGGCGAAAGAGCGGGAAATGAAGGATGAGGGAATGAAAGGATAGGGAATGGAACACATTGTCAGATCGACAACCACGAAAACGGCAACAAAGCGTTATCGCTTTCTTTAACTATGTACACATATGTCATCCCGCCTGCTTGTTCAGCTTGAAAGACCATGGTCGTCTGGCCATTTTCGCCTGCGGCCCTCGCACCTTTGAGTTGCGAGATGCTCGGAGCAGCTGGTCAGGCCACTATCGCCTGAGATGCGCATGTGCTTGCGCACACAGAGTTACCCACACCATCTGCATAGACATGTACATACCCATACAGACGTATATTTATATGTACATGTGTGGAATGTTTCCATCGGCGCATGTGTGTGTGCGCATGTACGCACGCACGCACTCCGCAAAACTCTAAAGGACCAAGGTGCATGGCGCGCAGCGCCAACACAGTCTTGTATATATGTATATATATATATATATATGATCGGGACACTCGATTTCGAAATCCCTACAAAACCTAAATTTTCATCACAATCAGCCCCACGTCCGTGGAACAACCGCCGGACCACCTGCACCACCCCGCAGGTCAACCGGACTACCCGGGCCCGCAACTCCCCGGACTAACCGCTGAGACCACCCGGAACACCCCCCGGACCAACCGGACCCCCAAGTCCAACCGCCGGACCACCCTGACCATTCCCAGCAGGACCACCCGGACCACTGGGACCAGCCAGACCAATCCCAGCCGAACCACCCGGACCACCCAAAGCACACGGACCAGCCGACCTGCCTGGACCATCCAAACAACCTCCGGACCATATGGGTTTCAACCACCCGGACCACCCGGACCACCCAGTCCAACCGGGACCATCCTGCTCGAACGACCACCCGAAACACCTGGACGTTTCGGACTACTCGGGCTAGTGGGACAACGAGCTAAATGGGAGTCGCGGAAGTTCTCCAATAACCCTCTTGGGGCTTTCTTGCGACCCTCTTTGGGCGTCTGGAGCCTTTTCGGCCCATTTTGGGCCCCTGCGACGAAAGCTCGTGGGGAAAAAGCGGAACAAAAATTACGAATTTGCTTCGAGTGTTTGGAAATCCTCGGCGCTCTCGTCGGCGGTCTCGGGGGCCTCTGGGAGGTCTGTTGGCGCGCTTTTGGGGGCTGATGCGGGCTTCTTGGGCCATCTGGAGGCTCTCATGGGGCGTCGAGGGCGCCCCTGGGTTCTGTTGGGCCGTCCTAGGGCTCTCCAGGGGGCCTCTTGGCAAGTTTTGGGGCGGTTTTGTGGGCCTGTTGGGCCGTCGCGGATTGTCGGAAGCTTTTTTTCTGGGGGGAACACCGTTGGCTGACCAATTTGACAGTTCTGAACTATCTTGCTCGCAGCCTCTCGTGCCGCAGCGCGGGCACGAATGGCCACCAAGCAAGATAGAAGGGCGCCCGTCTTACTCCCGCCGCCTCCCGCTGGCCTTCCGCCAAAGGACAAGTTAAACTGCTCGGTCCGCCGCAATACCGATCGCAATACAGAAACGAATCGAGCAATCCATTATACCAGAATGCCAAATAATGCAATACAGAAACTGCGTCGAAAACGATAATTAAATCTAGACTAAAGTATTGATAGATTCCAGGGTTACGATTGCTCCTACGAAAATAATTAAATCTAGAATGCATGAATTTCAAATTTGGAATTGTTCTTTTTCTGGTGTATATATATGTGTACTAGAACCATCGCGCGCGCTTCGCCCGCGCTCAAGTTCTAGCTAGGATAATCGTCATCGTCATTATCGCCAATCTCATC